CTTGTGTACATTTTGAGCTGCTTTCGACAAATAACTATTTCACGTCTATTTTATTATATAAATGACTAGCAATTTTTTTTTTATTTAGTTCAGTGCCATTTTTTCTCCTGTTTGTAAACCGATTTCTTTTTATTTTATTTTTATAGTAGCTATTGTTATCAATAAGTATTTTTTTTTGGTAATAGTCTTTTTTCCCACCTTCGATATATGAAATCCATTGAACCACAATAATTATGAATTACGATTAAGTAATAAAATTATTCTATAGTGAACATAAGCACCCTTTAGTTTCAAACCAATATGGACAATATTACATAAAAGATAGAATATCGTGAAAAACGAAAAAAAAAATTACTTCTCCCCCACTCCTCCAACTTCCCTTTTTCTTGTAACGATTTAGAACCTCCCACCCCAGGGAAGGTCGACCGCTAGACTTACAAAAAATAAACTTCGGGTACGATGGATTGGACTTTGAGGCGAAAACAATTTCACCCCCTGTCCCTCAAAGTTCAAGTCACTTCGCCCCCCGCCCCTCCCCCTTTTAAGTCTAGGTGGGGGGTGACATTTTTTCAAAATTCGGGTATTTTGAGATATTGTTTGTAGAGATGATTGGAAAAATTAGCAAAATTAGAAAAATCATAAAAATTAGAAAAAAATCGAAAAATTAGAAAAGTAGGGTACCCCTTCCTCCATCCCCTTTTTATATCTTTCCTGGATTGTCAATGAATATTAAGCTGAGGTCGGATATAGTAGAGCGATGGAGGTTACCCATATTTAACCCCCTTTTTTAGGGGCCTCAAGAGTAACCTAAAAATAAAAATTGAAAGTTATTATTTCATTGAATTTATTTGTTATTTAATTATAATGGTACTGAACTGTGTTGTATTGTAAATTTATGGTCTTAAATATTAAAATAAGAAAAATATGTGTTAGAAACCTGCAAATGCATATATGTTTTCTTCAAATTTTGAATAATGATTATGGTCAAATTTTGACCACTGGGCGAACACTAGTTTGATTAATTTTTTGTTAGTATTAATAAATACATATTAGTGGTATTTTACTATATTTTTAGTTTTTAGGATCTATAAGTGATGTTAAAATACAGGATATCTAAAATATGAATTGCCAGTGTAAAATTATTAGTATGGTCAATACTAATGGAGAATTGAAATTAAAATACAGTGTTACCAGAATTACCTACACCCTTTGCATGAAAAGAATCCTGTAAGGCCAGAAATTGACCTGGAAGAACTAGAAAATTAACTCTAGGATGACGAAATCCACTGACCAAATTGTCCTAAGATCAAGAACATTTAATAATAGGTTTTATTAGTTACACTTAAAAACTATAACGTCACAATCTAGGACATAATAGAACCAAACAACCTGCAAGTCCTTCATAACACTAAGTAGTTTTAAAGTTTATTGAAACAAAACCATTTTAAAACTACAAGATAAACAAACTTTTAAGATTAATTATATTTATTAGCCAATCTTATTATACTTTAAAAATCAGTATTAAATGCTAAGCAGCTTTTAAGTACCAACAGTATATCTACAAAGTAACTTTAAAATCAGTATCTTCATATTTACCACATTAAAGCCATTTTAAAACTCAAATAAACCCAAAATGTTTTTGTGGTGCTACTTGGGCAGCCCATTTTATGTTCAGGTTTAAGGATCTGGAGTATATTCTACATCCTGAGCCTTGTTTAGTTTTAGAACCGTCGGTGTAGATATGAATCGTACCTGCCACTTCCGGCTCTTCTATTTGTTCTGTTATAACTTTATATGGCATATGAAAGATATTTGTCGGGAAGATGGAGTACATGTTCGCTTGAAGCAGTGGAAGCGTATCGAGCACCTCCTGCCAAAAGCCTCACCAGATCCTACATTAGGTTCTATTCCAACCACGCGGGAGCATGTCATTGGCACCAGAGCAACCTCCTTGATGGGTGATTCCTCATCGAAAAAAAGATACGATCTTTCATGTAAAGAAACTTCATTGGAGCATCCCTTGTTAAGATACAGCCCCTTAAAGGGGGTACATAAAATTTGTTTAACAATTTTTTTCACAAGCACTGAACAAGTTACAATATTGAAATTAACCTGTCATTTTCTACTACCAAAAAGACACTTAGCCAGTAATTTATTTGGTTTACCCCATGGTTGTAAGGAGTGGAAAACGCAACCCCTAAAATTTCATTCCAACGTAACTTTTTGTCTTATTATTTGTTTACCATTTAAAATTTTATTTCCGATAGCCTGTTTCATTCTAAACAAAAAATGTCTTCTGAATTTTTTGCCCAAAATAAACCAGTTCGCAACAAAAAATTATTTTACCAACAACTACAGAGATACATCGTCATAAATGCGAACTGGATTTATTGTTATTTTGTACCTGCATTAAATGATTAAAAAGGGGAATAATCAAAACTAATTTATTAATAACAAAACATACAACATGTAGAAATCATAGTAAATGTTCAATATGTCTACCTTCAGACATTACGCATGCGTCTAGACGTCGGCGCATTGAGCCACGTATTCGCTCAAATAATCCTGGAGTCTCTCTAATTACCCTGCACGCATCGATGATGCGGTTTCTTAAGTCCTCTACATCGCAAACAGGAGTACGATAAACCAAATGCTGCAAATGGCCCCAAGTAGAGAAATCGAGAGGATTGAGATCCGGGGATCGAGCGGGCCAATTCTGTGGTCTTCCTCGACCTATCCACTGATTTGCATATGTTTCAGTTAAATGCTGACGTGCTACTTGACTAAAATGGGCGGGAGCCCCATGATGCATAAAAAACATATCCCTTCTGACGCCCAAAGGAACTTCCTCCAGCAGTACGGGATGCACTTCTCTTAAAAATTGAACGTATGCCTCACCATTTAATCGAGTAGGTAGAAAATGAGGCACAATTAAATAATCACCAATAACTCCGGCCCACACGTTAGGAGAAAAGTGTTCTTGATGGTGAGTTTCGACAATAGCGTAAGGGTTTTCATCAGCCCATATGTGGTAATTATGAAAATTAATAATCTTGTCCCGAGAAAAACTACATTCGTCTGTGAATTCGATCGTCTTCAGAAAGTCACGATTTCTTCTAATCATTTCCAGCATCCAATTGCAAAATTCAAGACGGTTCGGAAAGTCTCGCGGTAACAGTGCCTGTACTCGTTGCAGAGAGTAAGGGTATAAGAGATGTTCCTTTAAAATTCGAAATACCGTCATATGATCAACATTTAGCTGGAAAGCAATCTTTCTAGTACTGGTAGTAGATTGTTCTTCAATAAAATTAAGTAGTGCTTCCTCAAGCTGTAGTGTTCTTACTTCTCGATGGCGACCACAATCGTTCGTTCTTTTGTTGAATGAATCATATTCTCGTAATCGTTGATGAAGTCGGTCAAATATTCTATGTGAAGGATGCTGCCGTTGAGGATACATTTCAGCATATCTTCTAGAAGCTTCTAACCCATTCCCCTGCGACAGACCGTAAACATAATGCATATCAGCCATTTCCTCATTTGTGTATGCCATTTTAATAACAAGTGAATTATTAAAGTAACAAATTACGAACAGAACAACAATACACAATTAGTATTACTTCAATTTCAAAAATTTACAATTGTCAGTATCGCTAATAGCGGCCTACTAGATAAATTAGTTTCGTATATTCGTTTTATGGCGATATCTATCTTGTTCGTAAAATAATTTTTTGCTGCGAACTGGTTTATTTTGGGCAAAAAATTCAAGAGACATTTTTTGTTTAGAATGAAACAGGCTATCGGAAATACATTTTTAAATGGTAAACAAATAATAAGACAAAAAGTTACGTTGGAACGAAATTTTAGGGGTTGCGTTTTCCACCCCTTACAACCATGGGATAAACCAAATAAATTACTGGATAAGTGTCTTTTTGGTAGTAGAAAATGTCAGGTTAATTTCAATATTGTAACTTGTTTAGTGCTTGTGAAAAAAATTGTTAAACAAAGCCCCTTTAAGGGGCTGATCTTAACAAGGGATGCTCCAATGAAGTTTCTTTATATGAACGATCTTATCTTTTTTTCGATGAGGAATCACCCCCTTAAATGTTTTACACTTATTTAGTTACACCCTGTATAACTAGCTGTTGACGGCTGCCCGCGGTTTCTCACGCGTGGAGTCGTGTTTTTAATATAAAAAATGCACGACTTCCCAAAAAAAGGAGGGAAAATATGTTCATGATATGTATGTGATAGTTAAGTATATTAATCTAATATTTAGATATAGTAATCTAATTGAGAATATCTTTTTATACCATATTTCTGGTACGGCTCTCATCTGCTAATATCAACAGATTGAATGCGGAACTGACTCTCTAACACATACAATCGTCCTTGAGAAAAGCAGTCCTCCCTTAGGGTGTCTGGACCACAGAATACTAATAGTGGTCTGGACATCGAGTAATATCGTTTTTCGTAAGAAGTTTCACTTTTCAATTATCTGTACTATTCATTTGTATTTATTTTGATTTCACCACTTTTCTCCCCCCTTAAAATGTGTTCATCCAAAACCTTGAAACACGTCATTATTTATTTATGATGGGTAGCTTCAATTCCAATTTTCAAGTTCCTACCTTTAAAAAAATCGATGTTATGTTGGGAATGGGATGTTAATACACTAAAAGCTCTTGTGCCCCCTTCTGTCGCTAATGCAGGAAGGAAATGTCTCAATGCCTATCTTCTTAAGGAAGTGTAGAATTTGGAGTGGCTTCAAGTTAGGTAAATCTCCCTCTTTTATTTGATAAGAAAAATTGATACTCCTATACCTACAAACTTCGCTACTACCAAATGTAATTTTATAAATAATAATCTAGTCAAAATTAGAAAAAAATTTGTATGTAACTCGTTACGAAATACCATTTTGTGTAACTCGTTCACTAATAACTATTTTCTCACTTTTTTAAACATTTTTGCTTTTTAGAGGAAACTACCACAAAAAATTATTC